TCAAAGTTTTCGCAAAGTCTTAAACTTTCAGAGAGAAATCAAAATCGCAATCTTTACCCGACGATAAAGTCTATACAGCCAGAGATGTGGAAGAGATCGATGATCTAATTTTGGAGAGAGAGACATAGAGTGTGAAATGGCGGCTTTATCGTCGGCGATGTTGGGAAGTTACCGGCCAGTGACGACGGAGCTGAGACCAATCACACGGTGGAGAGTGAAGTGCCAAGTGTCATCCGTTAAACCCGCTACGTATTCCTCAAGACTCTCCACAGATATTCCTCTGCACGAGTCTCCTCAGGTCTCTCTTTCTCTATCTCTATAAACTTATATTGTGTTCTTATATCGATTAGTGGATTTTCATTGGGATTTTGGGGGATTTTTCAGGCATTGTTTGATGAGTATTTAGAGGACAAATCGAGAGTATTCGAAGCAATGTTTCCAGATAAACCCAGAAGCCATAGGCTTAACGAGGTATTATTACTCAATTGTGTATAATGTTGATAATATTTAAAGGAAGAAAAGTTATTAAAATGGGCATTTGGTCTAGTGGTATGATTCTCGCTTAGGGTGCGAGAGGTCCCGAGTTCAATTCTCGGAATGCCCCCTCCTTTTTTTGTTTGTCTTTTTTTTTCTACACTTTGTTTAATTAGTAGCGAATGGAATGTTGTGCAGGAAGAGTGGAGAATTCAGATGTTACCAATAAACTTCTTATTCCTCACTGTGTGGCCTGTCGTCGATATGAGATTGAGGTGCAAATCCAACGGTCATGATTATCCGCCAGATGTACCTTCGGATATAACCAAAGTTGTTGAGCTCAGCATGGTAATAACACAACACTTTCTTCAGCTTCCATTGTTCCATCTTGAAATTAGGAACATATATTTTTTGAATTTTTGTGATACTCTCTTGATCTACTCTGTTTCGAATGGATCGGCATTTCAGAATTCGGAGTAGATAATGTATAACCATGTGTGTAATGCTCTCTACATTTTTGAATTGTGGATTTTGCAGACGAGATGGGAGCTTAAAGGGCTTAACCGAGTAATGGAACCGTCTGATTTCAGTTTGGGAGTCAAAGGAGCATTGTATCCTGACCGGAGAGGAAAGAACACAAGGCTTAGAGGTCAATTAGAAATGAACATAAGCTTTGTTCTTCCTCCGGTTCTTGAATTGATACCCGAAGATGTTAGGAGAAACGTGGCCAATGCGGTTAGAAATTGTTACATAGTAACCTTATTTGAGTATCTTTGAACTCGATTTCTAACAGTTATGTGGCCAGATTTATTCATGATCTCTGTTTTTGATTTGAACAATTTACAGGTTTTGACTGGTTTAGTGGAGAACATGAAGCATAAGGTTAATGGGAGCTTGCTCGCTGATTATAGCAGGTTCAAAAATGAGAGAAAATTACTTAAGCAATCGAGTTGATTAACCCGAGTTTTAGTGTCAATGTTCAACCATGTATAGTTTCTCAATTCCACATGAGCATTTGAATATAAAGTGAGTCACTACAAGAGTTCCTTGCTTATTGTTTGGCATAGTCAAAGTTGAAGAATCCATAGCCTTAGGTTTTGCGATTTTCGGTTCTGAGTTTTACGGTTTGAAATGTTTTGGTTCAGTTTGGATTCGGTTTGAAATTTACTCAAATTTGGTTTGTGGCTTCTACATGAGATAGAAGATTGTAACCGTCAAGAGACTTTTTAGTTTTCTACAATTTCCTCTCAGATTACAATGTTTCTCTCGTGTCAGTCTCATCAACAAATGCATGAGAGAAGACGTGTAGAGTCCGGTAATCAACAAAGACTAAAATTACATAAAAACCCGAACCAAAAAGTCAAAAACGTTGTAT